GCTGTTTCGTCCTGTGGCTTCCCGGACAGTTTCAGCTACTCCAGGGGCTGTTGCAATCGCTGTCCTCACTCTCACGCAGTTCAGCATATTGCTAATAGGGTTGTCAGGGTGTTAAGACTAGATTGGGCCCTTTAAGATCACGGTTTAATTTTAAGAAATGTTCTCTCTATATATAATGTTCACTTCCTAAGCAACACGGTTGATTTGAACAGTTCTCTGGTTGAGGTTTGGACGTAGAAGCATTATTTTGGAAGCTGTCCCTGGGTAATGTTCTCTTAGGGGTTGGCTGTCAATGAGGTAGCCTTACACTTTGGATTTCAGGTAAGTGTGAGAAATAGTGGAAGAAAGTGCAACATGCAGAAGTGGAGGAGGCAAGTCAGTTTCACCCATGAAAAGGGTTGCAAGGAAGAACTCCAAAGTTTTTTTTTTTGTAGAAAGGAGGCCTCAGGGAGGGCTCCTTTCCATGACACCAACAACCTGGCTTATTAAGAGTCTTAAGTCTGAATTCCAGTCCCATCTCTGCCATCAACGAAGAGTAAGGACAAGTTACTTACTCTCTCAAGAGCTCAGTCCAAGGCCTGGGTGATCAAATGGTTTACCCTGAGGGTGCCTTCCAGTCCAGAATTCTATGATCTCACCAAATTAAAAGGGGAATGGGTTTAAAATAAGATCAAATAGCAACCATTTCTTGGTCTATTGTAATAGGCAAATCTTGACTTGCCCACTTATTCATCAACATGCAGAAGTGGAGGAGGCAAGTCAGTTTCACCCATGAAAAGGGTTGCAAGGAAGAACTCCAAAGTTTTTTTTTTTGTAGAAAGGAGGCCTCAGGAGGGCTCCTTTCCATGACACCAACAACCTGGCTTATTAAGAGTCTTAAGTCTGAATTCCAGTCCCATCTCTGCCATCAACGAAGAGTAAGGACAAGTTACTTACTCTCTCAAGAGCTCAGTCCAAGGCCAGGGTGATCAAATGGTTTACCCGGAGGGTGCCTTCCTGTCCAGAATTCTATGATCTCACCAAATTAGAAGGGGAATGGGTTTAAAATAAGATCAAATTAGCAACGAGGCAAATCTTGACTCGTTGCCCACTTATTCACTCTGCCAACAGTATTAAACCGTTAGTAATTGTATGGTACACTTGTGTCCACCTGACTTTGCTGACAGTGTGCCCATAAATATTTTGAGGCATAAGCACTGAGCTACAGTGGCCCATCTTTTTTTTTTTTTTATTAATTACAATGCTAATGCCAGATTTATAGCACCAAATGCTTTATCATTTATGATAGATGGATGTTTTGTCCACACTAAAATGTCAGTTTGTTTCTATAAATATTTTAATAGGAAACATTTAAAAAAGACATTTTTATTAAGTATTTTCATACTGTTTAGATGAGATATTAACTTTAAGATAGTAGTTTCTGTGATTTGATATGCAAATGATCATCTCATTGCAGATGTTTATAAGTACAGTGTCTTGGGAGGTCTTTTGGAGAAACTACTTAATGCATAGCCCAGAGCAATGGCCGATGATTCCGGAGATGAGTCATAATTTATTCTTGTGTCAAAATGTGGTCTTAGTCGCTGGCTGTCTTCCCATCTTCTATAGCACTGAGCACCAGCTGGTTGAGGTTTTAACCACTTGTGCTTAAGGTTTCAGTCATTGCAGAGCATTTAAATTAACTGCTAGTATGCACTTGTAGAAGCTTGATAAAATTAAATCTTTTGGAAGAATTCCATTTTTAGAATTTAAATTTGGCTCAATGGCATGCTGATTATTAATTTTAGTTCATCTTAGGTCGGAGGGATGAATAGCTGTTTATACTGAGTGATCTTTAAAGAACCTTCCAGTTCCGTGACAGTGTTCTTTGAGAATCCTTTGTAGAGGAGAAGGATTTCAGTAACATTTGGTAGTTTGAGATAAAAAGAATATGTTTTTTTAAAAAAAAGAATTTAAAAGAATACCTATGAGTCTTTTTCACAGATGTAGCCCTATACTTCATAAATGTGTGAATTAATTAGAGATGTTTTATTATTTTTTTTTGGAATATATTTTATTGACTTTTTACAGAGAGGAAGGGAGAGGAATAGAGAGTTAGAAACATCGATGAGAGAGAAACATCGGTCACCTGCCTCCTGCACACCCCCCACTGGGGATGTGCCCGCAACCAAGGTACATGCCCTTGACCAGAATTGAACCTGGGACCCTTCAGTCTGCAGGCCAATGCCCTATCCACTGAGCCAAACAGATTGGGGCTAGAGATGTTTTATTAAGTATTTCTTCAAAAAGGTGTGAAGAGAAAGAGGAGTCTTTGATTAATTAACCATGGCTACCTTTCAAGTTGCTATTAATTCTAAGTGAATCCTTTTTCTCAGTATTTGTTTTAAAGACACTGAATCACAATATTGCAAGCTTACAGAATCACACAGGGCCCGGGGTGGAGTGTTTTTTCACACTGCTTATAATTTGTTTGCCAAGGTGAATTAGTGTTTGGAAAGATAATGTTTTTATTATTTCTATGTATGCTCAATACAACATACTCATGAATATACTCCTTACCTATAAAGACTCATGGATAACATGCACTGTCTCACTTTTCTGGTATTTAATCATTCATTCCATCAGTCACATGAGCAATACAGTTTTTTGTTAGTACCCGTCTGTACCAGGCACCATTCTAGGAAGGTGCTGGGAATGCAGTGATGAATAAGGTAAAGTTCATGTACCAAAAGAACTTACTTTCTAGTTTGCTAGGCCTCATTAGGAAATATAGTGTTTCATAAAAATAATTTTCCAAGCATTTAAAACTTTTTGGTGGATACCCATCGCTCTGAACTGTATTATGACATTCCTTGCTGTGAAATTTAACCTTTTTATGATGACTCATCATTGTCATTTCAAAAGTGTTACAGGTAGAAGTTTTTGGCTAGGTATATCCCGGGTCTGTGTAGGATGAAGAACAACTTCCCCCATCTGTCATTATCTTAGTACTATTTGGCCCTGGGAAAATGGAATCGAGTAATTATATAACAGGCTTTGTCCAGAACGAGCAGGCTGAAGTGTGGTTTAATAGTCACAGAATGAACAGGGACAGTCACACTGCCTCCTACACGGTCACCATGCTACTGATCAGTGAACTGTTAAAAATTAGTAGTATGCTTAATAAGATTTCAGGGAATACTGAGTTTGGCTTGCAAGAGTGGGAGCTGAGCTCTGAGGAAGGCCATCATCCTCATCCCCAACTTCTTGTTAGTGATAGTTGTGTGCTCTAGTCTCTGAATAAATACTAATTAAATGAATGATTGTAGTTTCTAGCATTTCTACCAGAGCTGTGCAGCAGCAGAGCAAGGAGAGAGGGGTGGTTGGGAATCCATGCTCACCACAGGGTATGCAGCTTCTGTGTAAGAGACTGGAATTCATCCAGCAGCACTCACTGAATGCACGGGCGCTTGCTTAGGAAACATATTTTATAAGAGAGGGGAAGGTCACTTTGTACAATTAGAGAGCTAGGTGGCACCTGAGGGGTCTTCTTGTTTAGTTCACTCTTGAGACTTGGCATTTTTGATATTTATTGAAATGAAAAGATTTGACCCAGGTTATCCAACTAAAGAATTGTAGTGGAGCTGGGTCTAGAATCCAGGTCTTCTGTTCTCCCCTTCCCCCCACCGCCTCTTATATCATAGCCCAACTCTGTTCCCTTTTAGAAGAAGGGGGCATTTATATTGCACCCAGGGTAGGGCTGTATTTGAGGATGGGACTTACGGGTTAATGAGAAAGTAGTAAGCCAGAATAAAGATATTTCTCCCCATATTTATGCCGATCTAGGCATTTCCTCAGAAATCTCTCCCAACAAAGTGGAGGTTGATTCTAGAACATTTTGGGCAGGGCTTGTCATTAAAAAAATTCATTGTCAGAATGTTATTTTCAAGCCAATACATAACATGGGTGGTAAGTTTTGAAATCATAGTTTTCTATGTGATGAAAGTAATTTTTGATTAACTTTTCATTATTTATGATTTTGTAGGTTGGCAGCCTCGTTGGTTTGTTTTAGATAATGGAATATTGTCCTACTATGATTCACAAGATGATGTTTGCAAAGGCAGCAAAGGAAGTATAAAGATGGCAGTTTGTGAAATTAAAGGTAAGTGAATATATGGAATTAGAGGAAGTTAGGTAAAGGTAAGTAAAGGGTTCTGCAGCATACTCCAAAAATGGGAAAAAAGCATTCCTAACTAAGTAGGGATCTTCTAATACCATTTATTTCCTTAGCATTCAGGAGAGGCACTTAGCATTGTTAAGCATAGTTTTTGATATTTCTGTCTCTATGAACATAATTTGAAATTGAATTTTTAAGTACTCGTGCACATCTTCCAACATGGACTTTAAAAATAGTTTCTTGTGAATGCCACTTAAGTGTCCATGCTAATTCTACTGTGTTCTCTTCATTCTTGTAGAAAGGCATTGTAAAGATTGAAAGCTGAATTCTAAAGAAGCTCTGTAGGTTTTTGATAAAGTATGAAGTCAGAGTCATAAAATGGTTCTTGGCTGAATCGAAGATAAGCTCTTCTGAGTAATAGAGATGCTTTTCTTTTCTTTCTTTTTTTGGGATCTTTACAGTTTTAAGGAATACTGGTTAGGAATATTCCTATATTGGAATTTTTTTTTTCACTTTAATATATTTTTTATTGATTAAGATATTACATATGTGTCCTTGTCCCCACGTTACACTCTACCCCCCCCTCCCGCT